CTCCATTAACTTTTGACCTCCACTTCTGACTTCCATTAGTGGAGTTGAGAATTTGGCTATCAGTCTGATTGATATTCTTTTCTAGGTGGCTTGTCTTTATCCTTTGCCTCTTTTAAGACTTCTTGGTCTTCTATAGTTTTATTACGATTACTTGGGGATTCATTTTTTGGGCTTATTGGATCAGAAGATTGGTGCCTTCCAATAGTTCTGGAAGATTCTTAGTCATTGTCTCTTTGAATATTGTATCTTCCTTGCTCCTTTCTCTCTTTTTAGAACTCTAGCTACTCGTGTGACCTTGTCACTCTGCTGTTCATGTCTCTTCACTTCTTTTTCTGATTTTCTGTCTCTTGTTTCTTGGGCTTCATCCTGGACAATGTCTTTTTCTCTATCCTTTAATTTGCTCATTCTCTGTTCAGATGTTTTAAATCTGTTTAGCTACTGAGTTTTTAATTTTAAATATATTATTTTTCACTTCTTGAGATTATTTTCTTGTCTTTCCCAAGTCCTGATTGGTCTTTCTTTATAATCCTTTTATTTTGTTTATTTTATTTTATTAACCAATCTTTTGTGTTATTTCTTTAAAACATATCAAACGGACGGGCTTGGTGGCTCAGCCTGTAATCCCGCGCTTTGGGAGGCCGAGGTGAGTGAATTGCCTGAACCTGCGGGTTTGAGACCCACCTGGGCAACTTGGCGAGACCTCATCTCTACAATAAATCAAAAATTAGCCGGGCATGGTAGCGCGCGCCTGTAGTGCCAGCTACTTGGAAGGCTGAGGCAGAAGGATCACGGGAGCCCAGCAGGTTGAGGTTGTAGTGGCCAGGAACATGCCACTGCACTCCAGTCTGGGTGACAGAGTGAGACCCCAACTCAAAATAATAATAATAATAATATTTATCCTACAGACCTCTTGTAATTATGAGTTTACAAGTCTATAATCTCCACAGTTCTTCAGGCAGGGATAATATTTTAGATATCTCTCACCCTGCAGGGCCTAACACCATACCTAACGTACAGAAAGCACTCAATGTATATCAAGTAGACGAATGAACAAAAACAATAACTATGAAAGCAGTTTTAAACTATGAAGGGCTAGTAAAATGTTAGTTATTATATTTAGAGTATTTCCAAGTAAAATATAATAAACTGTTTTCATAATAACAGTAAGCTCAAAGAAGAAAAGTTTATTACATACAAAGAACAATTAGAAACAACATTAAAAAAAAAAAAAAAGGTGAGCATGTCAAGTCTTAGGACAGTGCCCAACATTTATTTTTCTTTCTTTTTTTTTTGAGTTGGAGTCTCACTCTGTCGCCCAGACTGGAGTGCAGTGGCCACTCCCGGCCACCGCAGCCTTGACCTGCTGGGCTCCGGCGATTCTTCCGCCTCAGCCTTCCAAGTAGCTGGAATTACAGGCATGCGCCACCACTGATGCCCAGCTGATTTTTTGATTTACTGTAGAGATGAGGTCTCGCTGCCCAGGCGAGTCTCAAACCCACGGGCTCAGGCAATCCACTCACCTCAGCCTCCCAAAGGCGCGGGATTACAGGCTGAGCCACCGAGCCCAGCTTGGAGCCCAACATTTATAAAACATATGATAAACGTCAATTTCCTTTTAAAAAGCAAAGCCTAAAATCAGTTTTCCAGCTAAAAATAAAGTAGAACATGGATATAAAAAAATAGCGATGGACAACCTCCTCACATCCCCTCCCACTGTGGGAGATTTTCTGTCCTCTCAATAAATTCTGCTTTCTCAAAAAAAAAAACAACTAAATAGTGATTAGGCCAGGCACGGGGGCTCACGCCTGTAATCCCAGCACTTTGGGAGGCCAAGGTGGGAGGACTGCTTGAGGCCAGTAGTTCGAGACCAGCCTGAGCAATATAGCAAGACCACATGTCTTCAAAAAAATTTTTAAAAATTAGCCAGGTGTGGTGGTGCATCCTTGTAGTCACAGCAACTCAGGAGGCTGAGGTGGGAGGATCACCTGAGCCCAGGAGATCAAGGCCGTAGTGAGCCATGATCATGCTACTGCACTTCAGCCAGGGCAACAGAGTGAGAATCTGACTCAAGAAAAAAATTAAATTAAATTAAAATAGAAAATAAAACAATATCATTCCTCTCGCTAAATTTTTTTCATTTGGGAAAACATAGTTATTTTTTGGTTTTATTGTTTTATTTTATTTTATTTTTTTTTTTGAGTTGGAGTCTCACTCTGTCGCCCAGGCTGGAGTGCAGTGGCACGCTCATGGCCACCCCAGTGTTGACCTGCTGGGCTCCAGCGATCCTCCCACCTCAGACTTCCAAGTAGCTGGAACCACAGGCGCACACTACTACAACCAGTTAATTTTTTGTTTATAGTGGAGACAAGGTCTTGCCAAGTTGCCCGGGCTGGTCTCGAACCCAAGGGCTCTGGCAATCCACTCACCAAAGCCTCCCAAAGTGTTGGGATTACAGGCTTAGCAACCGAGCCTGGCCATTATCTTTTTTTTTTTTTTTTAAATGTTATGTTCATATTTTTTGTTTTTTAGACACAGGGCCTTACTATGTTGCCCAAGAGTGCAGTGGCTATTCACAGGTACAATCATAACACACTGCAGCCTAGAACGCCTGGGCTCAAGTGAACCTCCTACCTCAGATTCCCAAGAAGATGGGGTGACAGGTATACATGCTATAGCACACAGCTGTTGTTATTTTTAAATAAGCTAAATAAATATTTCAAAACTTTTACATTTTTAAATTTTATTTTATTATAGGAATGTAGGGTACAAGTGAGGATTAACTACATAGGTAGGCTCATGTAAGTGAAGTATGGGCTTCTAACTAGCCCTCACTTCCCCTAGTAATGAAACAGGTACCCTTTGTGCCCTTTGTGTTGTCGCGTGCCCCTTACCTTCCTCCCTCCCGCCCCTAGCAGTGCCCAGTGACTGCCAATCCCTCCCTTGTATTAATGAGACTAATGTTCAAAGCCCACTTATGGATGAGAACATACAGTATTCAGATTTTTGTTTCTGTGATAGAGCACTTAGTATGATGGTCTCCAACTCCATCCAATCAACTGCAAAGTCCATAATTTTGTTCTTCTTTATGGCTGTAGTTTTACTTTCTAATATGGTAAATATCAATAGAATAAAGCCACATACACACACACACACACAAATGGTCTTTGGTATCCACAGTAATTTTCGTAAATGTAAGACAATCCCTGAAACTATGATGTTTGAGAAACACTGGTCTAATTACATCATTCTGAAAGTGTCTGACCCTTAGTCTATACAGATATTTAACACTCACCTGCTGTCCATTTCGGATAAAAGTTCCAAACCAAGTCCGGACTTTCGCATTTGTTCCAAGAAGCAAACCACTAACAAAACAAACTAAGTCACTCACTCCATCTTCATAAGCTTCATTTTTAGTATGATCCAATGTCAAAGCCACACCAAGGCCTGGCAAGTGACATTCTTCCACCTAACAAAGCAAAGGAAATAAACTGAATTAAATATCATAGGGAAAAGGACCAAGATGCTTAAAATCTAAAGTTTCAAGGAAAACAGCTTACACAAAAACCCAGGGATGAAGGTAACACATCTAGTACCTAAATTCCCAACCTCTATAAGATTCTAAAACTATCTTGAGAAAAGTTCTTGGTCCTATATAAAGACCTCTGTCTCATGAAAAAAACAGGATCTCTTACCACCATGCCTCGGACCTTGAGGGCTTGAGAAGGATTCATTTTACATAAGAAACGTAAGGCATCTGTCCTGCGCCTTCCTCCAAGACTTTCTTCATCTTGTCGTTCTCCATTTTTTATCAGGCCCCTACAAACTAAGATGATAGGTACCATTTTCTTCAGCTTTATGAATTGTTTATGCAGATTAGACAGTACAAAAGAAAAAGCTCTAGAAATCTTAAAATCATAGCAATAGAAATTGGTCAAAATAAAGCAAAGAATAAAAAAAGACTTAAAAAATGAATAGTACCTTGTGGGATAACATCACACAAATACACTTGCAATTACAGTACCAATAAGATAAAGGGAATGGAAGACAAAAATAAATTTGAAGGAATTTTCCAAAATTTAATGAAAACTATAAACCTAGAAGTTCAATGAACCCCAAATAGTACAAATTCAAAGAAAATCATACCAAGACACATCAAAATCAAATTTCTGAAAACCAGTAATAAGGAGAAAAATCTTCAAAATAGCCAGAAGAAAAAGTAAATAAATAAACAAAAGTAGCTGGAAGAACAAAGAAGCATTACAGAGGAACCAAGATAAAAGTTAGTCCAAGCCACAGCATGGTGGCTCATGCATATAATCCCAGCACTTTGGGAGGCTGAGGCGAAAGGGTTACCTGAGCCCAGGAGTTTGAGACCAGCCACAGCAATTTGGTAAGACCCTGTCTCTACAATAAATTTTTAAAACTTAGCCAGGTATGGTGGCCCGCACCTATGATTCCAGCTGCTCAGAAGGCTGAGGCAGAAGGATTGCCTGAGCGCCAAAGGTTGAGGTAGTGATGGCCATAAGCTTGCCATTGCATGTCAACCTCAGGAACAAAATGAGACTACGACTCAAAAAAAAAAAAAAGTTAATGCAGACACTAGAATGACATCTTCGAACAGCTAAAAGAAAATGTCAACATTAAATTTTATACTCAATGAAAGTAACTTTCAAAAATTAGGATTTTTCAGACCAAAAAGCTGGGAAAATGTGTTGCCAACAAATCTGCACTACCAAAAATGAAAGAAATTTGTTCAAGCTAAGGGGAGATTATATCAGCTAGGCCAGGCGTAGTAGCTGATGCCTGTAATTCTAGCACTTTGGGAGGCCAAGGCAGGAGGATCACTTATAGGCAACATAGCACAATCCCCATCTCAAATAAGAAAAAAAAGGAAAAATTAAAAAAAGAAAGAGGATGGGTATGGTGGCTCACATACGTAACCCCAACACTTTGGGGGCAGAGGCGAGAGGATTACTGAGCCTCGGGGATCGAGATCAGCCTGAGCAACTTGGCAAGATCTCATCTCTACAATAAATAAAATAATTAGCCAGGTGTGGTGGTGGGTACCTGTAGTTCCAGCTACTTGGAAGGCTGAAGCAGAAAGATCACCAGACCACAGCAGGTCAAGGCTGCGGTGGCCATAAATATGCCATTGTACTTCAGCTTGGGCTACAGAATGGTATTCTGACTCAAAAAATAAATAAATAAATAGAAAATTTTTTTAAAAAAGGAAATATGAAGCTACAGAAAGGAATGAAGAGCACTAAAAATGTTAAGTATGTGGACAAAGAAGAAGATCCTTTTCCCCTCTGTTTTACACTTTAAAATAAAATTAACTGGTTTTTTTTTTGGTTTTGAGTTGGAGTCCTACTTCGATGCCCAGGCTAGAGTACAGTGGCATGCTCCTGGCCACTGCAGCCTCGACCTCCTGGGCTCCAGTGATCCTTCTGCCTCAGCCTTCGAAGCAGCTGGAACTACAGGCATGTGACACCATGCCCAGTTAATTTTTTGATTTATTGTAGAAACAGGTCTCATCAAGTTGCCCAGGCTGGTCTCAAACCCCTTGGTTCGGGCAATCCACTCGCCTCGGCCTCCCAAAGTGCTGGGATTACAGGCTGAGCCACCAAGCCTGGCCTAAAATTAACTGTTTAAAGCAAAAGTAATAAGAATATACCCTAAGGTTTTAACACACGTAAAAGTAGAATCTATGACAACAATGACACAAGGGGAAGGGGAAAAAGGGAACAAATAAAAAAACAAGATAGACTTAAACCTAACCGCCACAATAATCATATTAAATGGTCTATGTATATGGTCTAAACACTTCAATAAAAAGACAGAGACTGTTACTGGATTAAAAAAAAAAACCAACTATACCTGTCCACAAAAAATCTACCTTAAACAGTATAAAGATAGATAGATCAAAGATTACAGATACATTAAAAATAAAAAGATAGGCCAGGCTTGGTGGCTGAGCCTGTAATCTCACGCCTTGGGAGGCTGAGGTGAGTGGATTGCCTGAGCCCGCGAGTTCAAGATCCACCTGGGCAACTTGGCGAGACCTCATCTCTACAATAAATCAAAATGAGCCGAGTGTGGTAGCGTGTGCCTGTAGTTCCAGCTACTTGGAAAGCTGAGGCGGAATGATTGCTAGAGGCCTGCAGGTCGAGGCTGCGGTGGCCGGGAGCGGCAACTGCACTCCAGTCTGGGCGACAGAGTGAGATTCCAACTCAAAAAAAAAAAAAAAGTATATTTCCTAATAAAAAGAAGAAGGCTCAATTCATCAAAAAGACGTAATAATCCTAAATACACATAAAGTCAATAATAGGGCTTCAAAATACATGCAGCAAAACTGACCGAACTAAAATAAGAAACAGACAAATCCACAATTAAGTTTGGAGATATCAACACTCCTCTCGGTAACTAACAGAACAAGTTGACAAGAAATCATCCAGGACACAGTTTGCAAAAAGTTTTTACATATCATGTAATATTCAGTAAATCTCTTAGAAGAGTTAAGGAAATATTATCAATATTTCCATTTTACAAATGAGAAGTATCTTGATGGAGATCACACAATGAGTGAGTGAAAAAATATCAGGAATCATAACCCCAGATCCCAGTGCTTTTCCCTCCCTGGCTCCGAATTCACAAATTATCTTGCTTAACAAATATTTTGGGATGGGAGCGGCGGCTCAAGCCTGTAATCCCAGCGCTTTGGGAGGCCAAGGCGAGAGGACTGCCTGAGTTAGGGTTCGAGATCAGCCTGAGCAACATGGTGAGACCTCATCTCTACAATAAATCAAAAAATTAGCCAGGCATGGTAGCTACTTGGAAGGCTGAGGCAGAAGGATCGCCTGAGCCCAGCAGTTGAGGCTGTGGTGGCTGTGGGCATACCACTGCACTCCAGCTTGGGTGACAGAGTGAAACTCTGACTCAAAAATAAAAATAAAATAAATGTTTTTATTTTTATATCACTCATACCAAACAACAATCTTAATCACCAGAAGTCCGAAATAGAGGTGAAAAATTTTAATTTATTTGTCTCAATTTCTACCCTATACTTTTCTGCAAAATGACAGCAATAAAGCTAAAAAAAAAAAAAGGTCTGACTGCTGGGATTCTGATTACACATATCTCATATTGCTCTCTGGCTATTTCACAGACATGTATCTCCTCCCATTTGCTCCCTGATCACAAGGACTACATCTTCTGGTTCCTTGATACATTTTACTGTTCTTTTTTTATTTATTTTTTGAGTTGGAGTCTCACTCTGTCGCCCAGACTGGAGTGCAGTGGCCGCTCCCGGCCACCACAGCCTCGACCTGCTGGGCTCCGGCGATCCTTCCGACTCAGCCTTCCAAGTAGCCGGAATTACAGGCATGCGCTACCACGCCCGGCTGATTTTTTGATTTATTGTAGAGATGAGTTCTCGCTGCCCAGGCGGGTCTCGAACCCGCAGGCTCAGGCAATCCACTTACCTCAGCCTCCCAAAGGTGCGGGATTACAGGCTGAGCCACCGAGCCCAGCTCATTTTACTGTTCTTATAGCATCGGTGACTAACGCCAAAAAAAAATTTTGCTACATACTCACAATACTTAAATTTGCAATGTCAGTACAATTTTTAAATCTTGAAACTCATTATTTCTACAATAAATACTCACTAATAAACTTTCAAAAGACAAAATCTCAAAATCCCATAAATGGTTTTTCTTTTTTTTTTTTTTGAGTTGGAGTCTTACTCTGCCACCCAGACTGGAGTGCAGTGGCTGCTCCCAGTCACCGCAGCCTCAACCTGCTGGGCTCTGGCGATGCTTCCGCCTCAGCCTTCCAAGTAGCTGGAACTACAGGCGCACACTACCATGCCCGGCTAATTTTTTTGATTTATTGTAGAGATGAGGTCTCACCAAGTTGCCCAGGCGGGTCTCGAACCTGCGGGCTTAGGTAATCCACTCACCTCAGCCTCCCAAAGCGCGGGATTACAGGCTGAGTCACCGAGCCCAGCTATGTTTTTTCTTAACTAAAAAAAAAATTGGTGCTGTACATACTCAAGCAAATCTCTTCAATATCTCATTTTTAAATTATATTTACCTTCATTAAAACTATCAGGAACATTGGCCACCAAGAGACACAAGAACCAAGCACCATTTCTAACATGTAGCAAGGCTTCAGCTACATCAACTATAGGAAGCAAGGAAGGGAGCTCTATAAGAAAACAAAGGTAGAGTTACTATTACAGAGTAATATTTCATCATATTATATATTAAACAGTTTTTGACATTTCACAGATGTCATCTAATTCAATTAAAGTGCTTTCTTTTCATCTTCTAGAACTGAGCTATCCAGCAAGATGGTCACTAGTCCCATGTGGCTATTTAAATTTAATTAAGTTAAAAACAATTCACTTCCTTAGTCACACTAGCCACATTTCAAGTAATGTTAGCCACATGAGGCTAGTGGCACACACAACAATACAGAATACTGAACAGCACAACATGGAACATTGCAGAATAAAAAAACAAATAAAAAGCTGGGCACAGTGGTTTGTGCCTGTAATCCTATCTACTTGAGAGGCTAAAGTGGAAGGATTGCTTGAGAATAGGAGTTTGAGACCAGACTAGGCAACAGAGTGAGACCCACATTTCTAAAAATTTGTAAAAGTGTTTAAAACATTGCAGAAAGCTTTATTGGACAGTGCTGGTCTAAAGAGTTATTTTCAGGAAAATCTTTGCATTTGTATGCCCTTTTTTATTTCTATTATTCACACCAATTATAAAGAATCAGGAAAATAAATACAAACAAGAAAATTATAAATTAGCCCCGAATGCGGTAGCTCAACCCTGTAATCCCAGCACTTTTGGAAGTGGAGGCGAAAGGACTACGTGAGTCCACTGGTTCAAGATCAGCCAGGGCAACATGGCAAGACCCTGTCTCTACAATAAACCAAAAAATTAGCTGGGTGTGGTGGCACACATCTGTAGTTCCAGCTACCTGTAAGGCTGAAGTAGAAGGATCACCTGAGCCCAGTTGGTAGAGGATGTGGTGGCCATGAGCATGCCAACTGAACTCCAGCTTGGGTGGCAGAGTGAGACTCCAACTCAAAAAAAAAAATTAATTTATTAAAACCAAATCTAATCTCATTGTTTAAAGTTAATAATATAAAATATTTTTTTGTTTTGTTTTTTAAATTGGAATCTCACTCTGTTGCCCAGACTGGAGTGCAATGGCACGCTCCTGGCTACTGCAGCTTCGACCTGCTGGGCTCTGGCGATCCTTCCACCTCAGCCTTCCAAGTAGCTGGAACCACAGGTGCAAACTATCACGCCCAGCTAATTTTTACTTTATTGTAGAAACGAGATCTTGCCAAGTTACCCAGGTGGGTCTAAAACCTGCAGGCTCAGGCAATCTACTCACCTCGGCCTCCCAAAGTGCTGGGATTACAGGCTGAGTCACCGAGCCCGGCAATGTAAAATATTTTACTTTCATTCCCTGTGGATATTGTTTTTGTTTTAACTTTTAACAAAACATGGGATTATATTCTACTTACCACTTTGCCTTTGCTTTTTCCATTTAACATACTGAAAACATTTTCTAAAATCGTTAACAAGCATTAAACTCATTCAATCAAGTATACTATTTTAATGTCTGCATAATATGCCATACTATGGAAATAATAAAATTTACTTAATCATTGTCCAACTACTTGTCATTTTTGACTTAAACATTTATTAGATGGCCCTTAAAATAACACAACATTTTAGGCTAAGAAGTTACACAGGATGATTTAACAAGAAAATATATGTGAAATGTATCTTAGTACTCAGAACAATACCTGCTTGTAAAATACAAAGTACATCTGCAGCTTCCTCCAAATAGACTGGACTCTCAAAGAGCTCAGAAGACTTGAAAAAAAATTCTCCATTAGACTCAGACACCTTTAAAAAGAAAAAGAAAAAAGACATGAACTCTATTAACTTCAAGTAATGAATTCCCTTATTATTTTTATAATTATTTCTTTTTCTTTTAAGAGACAAAGTCTCTATGCTGCACAGGCTGGTCTTGAGCTCCTGGGCTCAAGCAATCCTCCCACCTCAACTTCCCCAGTAGCAAAGATTACAGGTGTGAGCCATCACACCCAGTTCTATCATTATTTCTTGACCTCACAGATTGTTTCTTAATATGTTACTAACATACTATGGCAAAATATCCAGTAGTCAATCAGTTTTAACCAATTTAACCACAAGTAGCAATCACATTAATTATTATTCAGACATGACAGCTATCGGTTTCAAAAACTGATTTCTACTTAAATATTTGGAGTCAAGAATAATTAAAAAATAAGGCAAGCTAAAGAAATGAACTATAAGCTGGGCTTGGTGGCTCAACCTGTAATACCATGCTTTGGGAGGCTGAGGTGAGTGGATTGCCTGAACCCACGGGTTCGAGACCTGCCTGGGCAACTTGACGAGACCGCATCTCTACAATAAATTAAAAAAAAAATTAGCCAGGCGTGGTAGCGCGCACCTGTAGTTCCAGCTACTTGGAAGGCTAAGGCGGAAGGATCGCCGGAACCCAGCAGGTAGAGGCTGCGGTGTCCGGGAGTGTGCTACTGTACTCCAGTCTGGGCAACAGAGTGAGACTCCAACTCAAAAAAAAAAAAAAAAAAAGAACTACAAATGCTACCAACATAAGCTGTTGATTAAAAGAAGCTAACAACTACAAACTTAAAGCAATATAGCAAAATAAATTTATGTTCTATTCTGAATAAACTATTCGAAAATCAATTAAAACTTAAATCAACAAAACCTACTAACTTTTTTGAAAATGTTCTACAGTAGTTTTATCACTTATTTCCCATGATAAAGAGTACAATACTGAAAAACTGGAAACTCCCAGAGGAGAAAAGTCACTTAATTTATTAGAGTCATCAAGTGATGTAGAAGGAAAGATATAGAAAAAAAATTGGTTGAAATTTAAAAGTATCAGTATAGTAGAAAAGAGAAGGAAATTATTATTTATGATAAAAAGAAATTCTACAGAGAATTGTAATATATCTTAAAAACTTTTACCTAAACTGGGCTCGGTGGCTCAGCCTGTAATCCCAGTGCTTTGGGAGGCTGAGGTGAGTGGATTGCCTGAGCCCGCGGGTTCAAGACCCACCTGGGCAAATTGGCAAGACCTCATCTCTACAATAAATCAAAATGAGCCGGGTGTGGTAGCACGCCTGTAGTTCCAGCTACTTGGAAGGG